AAGAGCACCTAGAGTGAGTATCCCCACCACAGCTTGGTGCTCATTTCCTGTCACACACACTGCCCAACAAAGGCAGTACAGAGACAAAACTAACTCTGAGCTACCTCTGGAACAGAAAACCAGCAGCATTAGCATTGTTAAGGCTCATCAGCCATGCTGAAAGGCAAATCTGGAGTAGTGACATGCTTCACCTAACAACCTGGTTTGGTTTCAGATACTCTATCTGCATCCTCATCAATTGCATGGGCCCAAGCATGCCTTCAAATAATTCCATCTGTGCTGAAAGGTGCTAATTATTTCAAGCAAAATAAGATTAGCTCCTATGTCTATCTTCCCACCCAGATTCCACCCTGTGCTGCAGAACCTTAGCTAGTTTGGCTCCACCAGCACCTTGTTCACCAGGGCACCTCTTACCTTCTGCAGGGGGTGGACTGGAGGCTGCAGATGCGGCTTGGGCTTGCTCGGAGTTCTGGCACGGAGCTGCCGGCGCAGGATACCCCCAGCAGTGCATCCATGGGAAGGGTGGAACACCATGCCGCATTTTCCGGAGCCAGCGTCCTCGGGGAAACCACTGCAAAGGAGAATGCTGATGTGACACTGCTCACACACAGCCAGATTCTGAGTAACTGAAACTCGCGACCTGAATCTGAGGACTATCGGGTTCCCCCCTGTAGATTTCGCTCACCTCGAATGGATTGAGCAGTGGGCTTTGAAACATCACCATGTTGTGCTCCTTGTGGATGCCTTTACCCTCACAGGTGCTGCACAGGTCATAGTCTGGGCAGACACTGCACTTGAACCTGGTGCCCACCACGGGTCCCTCACAGCCATCGCAGATGACGTTGGGATGCACCATGTCACGCGGAGGCTCCTGACTGCACGGCGGGCGATGCTCGCGCTTGCACTCCTTCTTCTCTGTTCAGCAAAGGACATTTTGCATCAAGAACAGGTTGGAAATCAGGCAGAGGAGGAAGCACAAACAGCCCGTCAGAGCAGTATTAACTTACTAGGTCAGTTTATTTTTACACTGGCTGCCGAACACAAGCCAGGGGCGTGTAAGAGAGCTTAAATCATGCGCAAAGAGGTTTCGCAAAGGTACCTACCTACTCCCAAAACCAAGCGTGCCTGATCCTTAGTATCTCCTGGCATGTTTATTTTAGATTAGTACTGCACCACCTCATTTGGCTTCTGATCCTACCTACCTAAGCACTGCAAGAACAAAATGTTTCTGGAGAGGGAGGTAGGAGGGCGTATGCCAGGAGGCATAACATGAGAACGGGGACAACAGCATGACTCATTAGATGGGCTTCGTTAGGTAAAGCTCTGCAGGTATCACCAGGGACTAAGGAGCAGCTATGCCCTGAAAAAGGTGGAATGAAAGCTTCCTAACACGCTGCTGTCAACACGTAAGACACAGTGCCAGCTCAGTGTACCCAGGGAGGACAACAGCAGCTCGAGCTGGACCAGCTGACAGGGCTGGGAGGAAACTTGTGACCTGCTTACCCCTCGTCAGCAGGGAGGACTCACGTTCTGTCAGATCACTCCGTCCTTTATTTAACCTCCCCCGCAAACCTTTCACCAGGCCCTG